ATGTGATGAAGAGGCAGGTTCAGGAGGAGGAAGAGGAGGATGTGATGAAGAAGCAGGTTCAGGAGGAGGAGGATGTGATGAAGAGGCAGGTTCAGAAGGAGGAAGAGGAGGATGTGATGAAGAGGCAGGTCCAGGAGGAGGCAGCAGCTCCTGAAGGTACAGTTCATCTGTGAGTTTGTTATTATTCTGTTTTCACACTAGTTTACGAACAAGATGACACAAAATCTACTGAGCAGAAGATCACGAGGTGGAAAGATGTTTGTGTCTCAGAGAATCTAATTCTTTGATAATTCTTTGATATCTATGATTATGTGTAAATTGGTGAAGGTCCCAAATAAATGTAAATAAGGTTTCATCAGGAGACGGTCGGGCTCTGGTGGAGAATTTAAAAATAATGTAAAGAGGCAGAAACACAGAGTTTAACAGTCTTTCCTGAACTCTTCTGAAAACGTCTAATCTTTTAATTTCATTCTGTTTATTTTGATCCACACATTCAATTTAGTAGAAAACATTAAAGCAATAGGTGAATAAAATAAATACAGCTCATTAAGCCTCCTTACCCTTTATACACAGAACGAGTTTAATATTATGAGGTGTTAAGTGAAGGTCGCTCAGCAAAGATAGAAATAAACAAAACATCAAATTAAAGTATTGACAATATTTTCCTTATTTTTGAACTTATTACACTGAGATGTTTTTATTTAATGTAATTAAATAAAAACATCTCATCACATTATTTTCAAAATCTTTGTGAGCTGCATGTTTTTGGTTCCTCGTCATTGGGAGTTTCTCCTCCAGCCTCAAAGTGCTGCTCATTGTTGAACTGTTGGTTTCTCTATATTAATAAGATCTTCTCTGTAAAGAGCCGTGAGGTCCTGGATATTAGGATTTGGTGCTATACAAATAGAATTGAATCATATTTAACGTTTCACAGATAATCATCTATTATTTTATTTTATGGAGAAACTTGTCTCTGTGTTAAAGAAAGTGAAGTCACAGGTGAAGGTCATTTATCTCCTCTCAGCAGAAACTCCGTCACTCAGCTGCAGACTCCAGGACCTCAGTCTGGGAGAATCACACGACGACGTCCTCGTCTTCCGCTCATTCTTCATCAGCGTGGTGGAGGAGTCCGATCTGTGGGGCGAGGGAGACGAGCTGGAGCACGCTCAGGAGCTGCTGAGGGAGTACGAGAGGAGAGAGGGCGTGACGGTGAAGAAGCTGGAGGGCGGTGAGGAGAAGTATGAGAAGTCCAGAGCCAGACACGGAGACGACGTCTTCTCCAGGTTCATGAAGAGGATCTCGCCGTGTCCTCAACAGATCCTACGTTACTGCCGCGGCGGGAGGCCGCTCTTCATCTCCGAGCCACCACCCGACGTGGCCCAGGTGGCGTCGGTGTGCGGCTCCTGCGGAGGGTCCAGGACTTTCGAGCTGCAGCTGATGCCGGCTCTGGTCAGTCTGCTGCAGAGGACGGTCGGCGGCGCTGAGCTGGAGTTCGGGACGGTCCTGGTGTTCACGTGTGTGAACAGCTGCTGGACGGCCGGCTCGGGATCGGCTGTGGAGGAGTTCTGCTTCGTTCAGGCCGACCCGGACCAGCAGCTGTTTAAATGATTCTGAGCCTCACTGTTTAATATCTTACTGCAGTGATGTCATACTTCAGGACACTGTGACATCATCGCGGGGGGGCGTGGTCACAGATCAGGGAACAGACATGATTCAGGCGTCGACAGAAGAAGAAAAACCCTGATGTGATTTATATTTAAATAAAGATGAACAGATTTGGTTTCGGACGGAGAAGAGTGAAGACGGTGATAGTTTTTATTTCTGGGTTTTCCAGAGATTTTCGGGTGAAGATTGTAAAGAGGTACGATCCCTCCCTCCGAACTCGAGGACCCAGTAACTTTGAATAAAAAGTAAAGTTTCTGAAAATTCTACTCAAGGCAACACTCTGTAACTTTTCTACCTTAAACCTCAGCTTGATTAAAGTGAGTCTGATGTGTGAAGGTGGAGAACGTTTCCTCCTTCGCTCCCTGAGCGTCTGTTCTCTCTCTCTGCTGAGTGGGTTCATCTCCTGAGAGAACAAGTGACTGAGAGTCTCCATCAGCTCCAGKKGAAGAGTGAAGCTGAACTGAGATCAGTTCTTAACAACCAGAGTTTATCTCCAGTGTTCAGCAGAAACTTTAAAACATGAAGAACTCTGAACAGCTTGGTGGTTCAGGAAGCAGAGGATCATGGGCAATATCAGTGTTCAGTTGTGATTCCGTTCAGTGGAACTTTTCTCAACATGAAAACTTCCTCAGACACAGAGCCCAACAGAGTCCATCACCCCATGAGGCTGCAGGGGGCGCTGTTGCTCAGTCTTGGTTTCTTTGGATCTTTCCTGCAGCAGCTAAGTAGCTGAACCCGCTCCGACCTTTGACCTCATGAACTAACAGTAACACAACATGAACAACAAGCTGTGATTCTGATTCTCAGATTATTTCTAATTCAAGAAAAAAACCCACATTTGTTTCTTCAACTTCAACCTCACGACACATTTCTACGATTCAGCGTCTTCAAGCTTCAGAACAGTTCAGGTTGAACAGCAGTGACGTCATCTAGTGACGTCATCCAGTGATGTCATCCAGTGATGTCATCCAGTGAGGAAATGGAAACTACAGAGTAAATATCAGCTGAAGGACTTTTGGTTTTAATGGATCCACAGTATCAAAAATAGATTTAATTAAATGGCCAATAAATAACGACAGGATTTTCTTTTTTTGTGCGACGTCTCATGACGCCACGGATTGTTATGTCACATTAAAGCTCTACCGTTGATTTACAGCCCTTTGGTTTGTTTTAGAAATATTCCAATTCGTCATGAAGAGATAAAAAAGGATCTTTGTTTTCTCACTGAGGTACGAGTTAGCACTCAAATTCCTGAGACAGACGAGGAAACTGCGATGTCCTGATGAAGGCGCTGTTTGGTTTTCAGGCACTTGAATCAGTCTGGTGCACTTTGTGCAGACGAGACCGTCCGGTTATTTTTGTCCAAACAGCAGGAGAAGCTGTCCACGTCTCCGGGGGACGCAGCGTGGCTACTGAGGACCTCCACAGAACGGTAAGGCGGCGTCGCTGGACTTGTGCTCCCAGTCGTACTGGTGGTACTGGTCAAACTGGTCGGCGCCGCTGCTCAGACCGCTGATGTCTCTGTCGATGATCTCGTTCACTGCAACACAAACAGCATTTGTTTTTCTTTTTACAAAAGAACATTATCTCAGATTTTCTTTTATTTAAATTCTGAGATGAAAGAATAAAGTTGGAAATGAACGAGTGTCATGTTAGAGTTGGAAACAAGAAATGTGTTTGTATAATAGTAAAAATCAAAGTCAAACTTCTTCAACCTCATTTCAACGTCTTCAAGTTCTCAAACTAAATCATGTGGTTGTAAACTCTCCACATTACTTGATTGTTTTACAACTTTTCACAGTCAAACTAGTTTGAAACTCAACAAGTTGAACCATCGAGAGGAGAGAGGCTCAGATCTGATACTGCAGTTCCCTGTGTGACCACAGGAGAGCGCAGCCGGACAGAAACTGCTCATTGAAGCTGTGAACAGAAACGTTTGTTAAAATAAAATATTTCAGCTCATCAGGTTTGTTTCTGTTCAACTCATCAATTACAGCTTCACAACTTCACAACTTCATAACTTCTCACCATAAACCAGTTCTGTTTATTATTACTATTAGTAGTAGTTTTGAGTAGTAGTAGTAGTTTTGAGTAATAGTAGTAGTAGTAGTAGTAGTAGTAGAAAGCTGCTCTGTCTGGTCTGAGTCTTTGTAGAGCAGCACATCTGTCTCTGCTCTGTTCAGTCTGTTCACACGTTACTGAGGTGGAACTGAAATCATCGTTGTCAGCTGGAGACAAACAACATGAACTTTTCTAATACATTTTTCAGAGGGAAATATTTTACTTTTTACTACATAATAAGTATGGAACAGATTCAGGACCATGTTTACGTAGAGTTTGGAACATCTATGTCATGACATATATACAGTATATATATATATATAAGGATGAAATTCCACTTTAACTAATTGTTTTAGGTCCAAATTGGTCAAGTGATCCAGCCAGAAAAGATTAAAAACAGCTCAATGGTTTCTCAACCTGGGAGAGCGGCCCCCACAGAGTTCTCAAGATTAATCTGTGCGGAATTCCTCTTTAACAAGAAAGGAACGACAAAAGAAAAGTTATTCTGCTTCACAACATTAGGTTCATTCTGCACACACAACCTGTAGGAACACACACCATCAGTCCCGACATTCAGACCAGTAACTGGTCTCAAAACAACCAGGTCAAAAAACCTCAAAGAAATCTTTTGACCTTTAGATCATCGAGTCAAAGTCGACCGAGAAGGCGTGAGGGTGTGTGTGTGGTGGTGGTGGGGGCTAGGCGGCCAGGCTGAGCGTAAGAGGCCTGACGACAGCTGCTGCTCGCCAGCTGAGACGCAGAAACAAATTTAACCCCCATCTGCATCATTCAGAC